TATCTACCTTTATTAGTATTATTATTATAATACATTCGTGTCTTTGGCATTATTCGTGTCAAATAAAGAGAGGTAGATGAGAGAACGGTTCAGGCTCTCTTTCGGATCCATAAAAATCGTACAAAAAAGGTCACTGTAGATATGGCGGACTGCTTGACATTATTGGCATCTTTTCCCATTTTCTCCTTGCGGAAGCGAATGTCATCAAATCAGTCGAAAGTGTGAATTAAACATCACTTGGAAATCAGTGGTTTCTTATAACGCACTGTTGAATTTTTTTGCCGATGTGCTCATTGAAAGCCAACAGTGTTCATGGAATTGTTTCTTCTGGAATGAAAAAAAAAATCACTTTTTTTAGGCTAGTACGCTTTTGTTTTCTCGAGACGAGGGCTGAACGATTTTGAAAAATAATGACTTGGCACATGCCCTCCCTCAGGTGCGGTGCGGTGGAAGGTGAGCGGCCATGGGCGCCGAGAGCAGCGCCGTGCGGAGCTGCACGCCGGAAGAGCCGCTCCTGAGCCTGCCCTTCGGTCTCACCATGTTCTCGGCGGTGCTCCAGGACGGAAGGGCCGCTTCTGTGTTTGTTCACAAGCGCGGCAATGAAGATAAGGTCAATAAAGCGGCGAAGGTATGTTCATTTCGAAAAAGAAAAAAATGATGAAGATCTGTTCCTACGGTGGCGAGCTAACCCGAATTTGTACGCAAGTCTGAGCACCTAAACATGTAGCTGTGTTATATATACACGTGAAAATATTATGATAAGAACAGAAAACAGACACTTAAAAGGCTCCTGAAATGAAAGCTAATCGTCTGTGTTTTGAACGCAATGAAACTGGCATCCTGCCGCAGCACCTGAAGACCCTGAGGCACCCGTGCCTGCTGCGCTTCCTGTCCTGCTCGGTTCAGGATGGTAGCGTCCACCTGGTGACGGAGCGCGTCAAACCGCTGGAGCAGCTGCTGGACGGGCTCTCCCCTGAAGAGATCTGCGCCGGAATCTACGACCTCCTGCAAGCCATTGTCTTTCTGCACGAGAGAGTGAGCGAGCTTCCAATTTAGAAATTGCAAAACAAA